CAACGATCTAAAGTGGTTTTTATATAGCTTTCTACGTGTTTATCAACTTACTCGTACGGAGCAACCATGCTGTGACAAATGGCGGGCTATGGGTGACTTGAGTGCAGTAAAACAAATCTGCTTGACAATGACCAATATTAATCTGTATTCAGTTGAACTCACATCTGGTATTACTTGCAAAAAAATGATGTCAAAATCATAAAAATTAATCACTCATTTTAAATTAATACTCAATTTGAACATAAAACAAGATACGATGCCGCACACAACAACGTTATATGGAGAAATTGACTTCAAGCTTTATTTTTTTTCCAAATATTTGTAATTTATTCGACACATACTTGGGTTTTTTTCGTTAATGCGAAGACAATAATCCTATATTTCTTTATGTGCTCCATTGAACGACTAACTATGAGAATGTACTCACTAACTGATGTCAGAGAGGAGAGCAACCATGCAATTTCACTATAAATCGAATTTATGTAATTTAAATGATACATATCCATGCCTCTACAAATGGAGTGTCCTACATTGATAGGAAAAATATATAGTATTACACGTAATAGGCCTCAAGGGGAATGCAATAGCCTTTACCATTCTAAATTAGAGGATACATACGTTTGATTTGCCAAGGACATTGCGTGACCTTGTCTCTCAACGACGAAGCATTGAAACACATCATAGAACTTCAATCTGTTGGAATGAATGTGGCAAATGAGTAGTCTTTCCAGATTTTGTGAGAGACATGATAGTATTTCAATTTTTCTATGGACGTATCAAAGACAAATTTTGATGATGTGTTTCCAATATACAATATCGTTTTTACGAGCTAGTTTAAACCAATTTGATTTCTTTGTGCTCACCTATTGATTGTGAGATATAGGTTCCTGATCTTCGGCAAACTTCTGCGTAGCTCTTCGTGCCACTCGACTGTCGTAGCTTTGGTTGACTTCAAAAGGAGTAGTTCTGTGCGTCGGTGGCACAGTGGTTAGGGCTCTCGCTGACCATGCACATGGTCCGGGGTTCGATCCCCTGCCGACGCACACCTGTTGGCCACAAACTCTGCTAGTGTGTGATGTAAGTTTCTGTATGTAGATGATTACATTTGGACCCCATCGTCTCTGGCGAGACGACAGAATATGTATAAGATAATCACGTAGTTCTCTGTGATACAAGATCAACGATAAGTCCATGCCATTTGGACTTCGTCTAGCACGTGCCTCATATTCTAGGTGGAGTGCAGTTGAATGTTTCTTACACCTCAGATGGTGTCTGGTGCATATCACAAGTATATTCCAATGCTCAGTCTGCGATCAACCTCTGGCAAAATGTAAGATATTTGTGATCTCTTCATTCTAACTGCTTTTCGATCACCTGAAATTCTAAAGATACAGGAAATAACAGTTTCTGAATATTTGGAGATTTCGTGCTTCATTCTTGAAAATTTATAGTCTGAATCGGTATTTTATTAACCGTGAAAAAATTTCGGGTCAAACTGTTGTACTCTCTATGCTTGCACACCCAAAAGCTCAAATTTAAAAGTTTATAACATGTTTACCTCATATATTTCGTTTAATAGAATAATAATCTTGCAGTTCTTCAACATTTCGTTACCAGTGTGATTCTATTTGGAGCCATTCGGTTTGGATTTGTAACTGGAGCCGTTTTGGCTAATTTAGGATTTCTTCGAGTTCCTTGGGAACAATTTGGCTTTATTTCGGTTTGGGCGAAGAGTGTAAGTCTATTTCTCTAAGAATTATTCACGTGGTGCCTGTTTTATTCTGACTGAATCCGTTCTATTTTTTCTCTTCTGAATCTCATTCTAAACTCTACTTTGCTATTTGGTGAGGATGCAGTACTCCTTGTCTAGTTGAACTGAAGGTTGTGCTGTGGAATGACTTCTTTCTCCTTGAATATTCTCCAAAAACGTTTGTTGTTCTATTTCTCCCCCCGCAGACAGAATTTCGGCCCAATTTTATAGGGACAATTACTGTTGACTCCCGAATATTTGGCAGCTGTTATGGGTATAAAATTCAGCAGCAAGTAGAGCACAATTCCCTGATAGAATAATTTTATTTGATAAAACACAGAGACACACTATCATTTATCCACTTACGGCTGAACGATACAACACACTTGCCAGATATTCCATTTATTATTATGACTTTTCATCAAGCGCATTTTGCGGATGATGGCATAGGTGTTTTTGTAACTGACGTGCACTCCTTGAATACGATGTGCTTTCTCCTCTCGAACCGGAAGATAACTATCTTCGGAATTATCCGATTGGTAAACCTGATCTTCCTGGCGAGTGAACTAAATTGAACGATTACTCCCACTATAAATCTCTGTGTGGTAAGTCCAGCTGTCTCGATATACTACCAAATCTTGGGGTGCTACGTCTGTAGCAGCATCTTCCTCACACCCTAAGATAAACAAGTCTCGTCGGTCTGTCACTCGAGTGCTGTAAACCCGAGTAACCTAAAAGCTCTAGGTAAAGTCGAAAACCTTCTATTTTAATAATAATATTTCATATTTTGTGTAAACTGGTGTTAATAAGAAATGCATGCCATTCTTACAGGTGCATTACTTTTGTTAAAAATTACAATCCTGAATCATTGTAAATTAGTAATTTTTCAAAAGTTTAAATTGTCCAATTATTATAAAAGCAATTGGAACAGGTTCTTATTTATGTCAAATTGTAAATCCTTTTCTAAGATCGCCATCAAAGTTGAGCGACAATCCAAACTTCGTCCCGTTTCCTGCTAATAGTCATAGCGAACCAGCGATCAGCGTATATTTGAGTATGTGCTATGCCGCCACGTGACTGAAAGATGTTTCCTGAAGAGGAGAATGTCCTGAGAACTGCAAAATGGCATAAAATACAATTATGGATAATGCATCATTGAAAGTGCATCTATAGGATATATACGAGGAGGGGGTGGAGACTCCTTGGAATGATAGTATACATTTGTAATGTTTGTTGCTAACCGTATTGGTCTGATTGTTATAAGTATGAAACTTGGGCACTGCGGTAGAGTATAGCTTCATTATGGATAAGATCTTATTTTGATAAATCACACAGTGTTGTACAGTAATATTAACCGATGATGTTCCTAAAACAAACTATTGCTCATAATTATATGAAGTTACTCACACAACTTTTTTCCTTAATTTATATGCATGTATGGACTTGACTAGATATTTGAATAAAAATCTGAATGTATATTATCTCATATTGACTTTTATTCAAATATCTAGTCAAGTCCACGCATGCATATCGAGACAGCTGGACTTACCACACAGAGATTTATAGTGGGAGTAATCGTTCAATTTAGTTCACTCGCCAGGAAGATCAGGTTTACCAATCGGATAATTCCGAAGATAGTTATCTTCCGGTTCGAGAGGAGAAAGCACATCGTATTCAAGGAGTGCACGTCAGTTACAAAAACACCTATGCCATCATCCGCAAAATGCGCTTGATGAAAAGTCATAATAATAAATGGAATATCTGGCAAGTGTGTTGTATCGTTCAGCCGTAAGTGGATAAATGATAGTGTGTCTCTGTGTTTTATCAAATAAAATTATTCTATCAGGGAATTGTGCTCTACTTGCTGCTGAATTTTATACCCATAACAGCTGCCAAATATTCGGGAGTCAACAGTAATTGTCCCTATAAAATTGGGCCGAAATTCTGTCTGCGGGGGGAGAAATAGAACAACAAACGTTTTTGGAGAATATTCAAGGAGAAAGAAGTCATTCCACAGCACAACCTTCAGTTCAACTAGACAAGGAGTACTGCATCCTCACCAAATAGCAAAGTAGAGTTTAGAATGAGATTCAGAAGAGAAAAAATAGAACGGATTCAGTCAGAATAAAACAGGCACCACGTGAATAATTCTTAGAGAAATAGACTTACACTCTTCGCCCAAACCGAAATAAAGCCAAATTGTTCCCAAGGAACTCGAAGAAATCCTAAATTAGCCAAAACGGCTCCAGTTACAAATCCAAACCGAATGGCTCCAAATAGAATCACACTGGTAACGAAATGTTGAAGAACTGCAAGATTATTATTCTATTAAACGAAATATATGAGGTAAACATGTTATAAACTTTTAAATTTGAGCTTTTGGGTGTGCAAGCATAGAGAGTACAACAGTTTGACCCGAAATTTTTTCACGGTTAATAAAATACCGATTCAGACTATAAATTTTCAAGAATGAAGCACGAAATCTCCAAATATTCAGAAACTGTTATTTCCTGTATCTTTAGAATTTCAGGTGATCGAAAAGCAGTTAGAATGAAGAGATCACAAATATCTTACATTTTGCCAGAGGTTGATCGCAGACTGAGCATTGGAATATACTTGTGATATGCACCAGACACCATCTGAGGTGTAAGAAACATTCAACTGCACTCCACCTAGAATATGAGGCACGTGCTAGACGAAGTCCAAATGGCATGGACTTATCGTTGATCTTGTATCACAGAGAACTACGTGATTATCTTATACACATTCTGTCGTCTCGCCAGAGACGATGGGGTCCAAATGTAATCATCTACATACAGAAACTTACATCACACACTAGCAGAGTTTGTGGCCAACAGGTGTGCGTCGGCAGGGGATCGAACCCCGGACCATGTGCATGGTCAGCGAGAGCCCTAACCACTGTGCCACCGACGCACAGAACTACTCCTTTTGAAGTCAACCAAAGCTACGACAGTCGAGTGGCACGAAGAGCTACGCAGAAGTTTGCCGAAGATCAGGAACCTATATCTCACAATCAATAGGTGAGCACAAAGAAATCAAATTGGTTTAAACTAGCTCGTAAAAACGATATTGTATATTGGAAACACATCATCAAAATTTGTCTTTGATACGTCCATAGAAAAATTGAAATACTATCATGTCTCTCACAAAATCTGGAAAGACTACTCATTTGCCACATTCATTCCAACAGATTGAAGTTCTATGATGTGTTTCAATGCTTCGTCGTTGAGAGACAAGGTCACGCAATGTCCTTGGCAAATCAAACGTATGTATCCTCTAATTTAGAATGGTAAAGGCTATTGCATTCCCCTTGAGGCCCTTTACCATCAAAATAATTTTCTTGGCATGTATTCTTTTACTGTCCTTGCAGCTGATATTTTTTTATTCCTCGAGTATTGACGGTAAGTAAACTGTCATGGTGTTTTTAATACATTTTGTGTACACAACTACCTACATAATATTTTTGTGTTCTGATATAATAATATATTTGCTAAATAATTTCTCGGCACATTATTTTCGTCACACTTTTGTATGTAGCAAAGTACCTTATGTGTATACAGAAAGAAATCTCCCTGTAATTTCTAAATAAATTATGAAATAGCAATATAAATGATGCAAAAAGCCAATTGCAACTGTTTCTTTTCATAGGCTGTATGTCTTTACTTAGAAGTGAACTTCATCTTTTCTGTTTGTTGAAGATATTAACATGCATCAATGATTCTTTTATTAACAGGTTGATTCCTACTCTTAGTATTATATATGGAACATTAGTACACAAACAAGCTTTATTATTACCAGTTGTCCACAGTTAATACAGGCACTCAAGATGGTTTTTTAAAATGCATGGTTAGTGGGATGAGGCATTCCGGTACACAATTCTATTGGTTTTATAAGTTGATGTAACAGTTTAGGAGTAGTCACTTAACAGCTAAAAATGCCTTTTCTGTATATACAAACATGTTTAAAGTTATGTTTCTTTACTGCGTGGATAATCAGATATCCCCTGCTGACTGACGTTACTTTTGTTCATATCTGAATCAATCATTCTTCAGCATAAAACGAGAAAAACTGATTACCTGGCCTTTATTGTTTGTTACGATAGTTATTTATTTGAGTATCTTTTTCGATAAACGTTCACTAATTAGATTGCTACCATGTTGCCTGGTGAGGGTTCGCATAAATCGATAGATCAAACTCTCAATTTTCTCTCTTATAATAAGCTAGAATTGCCCGCACGTTGATTGTTATTCAAAATTAGCCTTAAACGTTTTACTTGTCCTAGCAAGTGTTGTTGACGGTAAACATTTCTCTAAATCACCTCATAATGTTAGTAATCTGTAGTAAAAAATTACTTGTGACATGATTTAAAGTGGTTTGCAAGGGCGGAAATATGTTCAAGCACGATGGCATTCTAGATTCCAAAGGACTTCACCAATTTTCATTGACATATTCTTTTTGTCACTTCCATTTTTTTTTACCATAATATTATATTTCTATTTCATTATATTGTATGACTTTCCAAATTGTGATAGTCGAACTGATGTACTATTGTGCATATCTCTCTGTCAGTTCATAAGACAGTTGTGCTTGGGCTCCGGACCCCATGTCTTTATATAAAGTCAAACAGACGGAATTGAAGACAATTAGGTAGAAGTCACATCTTGAAGTTGTAAAATGCTGTAAGGCCGAAAATAGGTGGATGAGATAAAGAAATACGGTATTGGAATAAAGATAATGAAATGAGTGTGTTGATGCCAAAAAGTGGTTATGAGACAACTATTGCTACCATCAGACACGTGGGCGGTAGTCACATAACATATACTATCTAGACCGACAGTTAGATATTTAGGAAATTAGTGTTATATCTTCATCTTGTCACTTGTTGTTTTCTTTCCGTCTAGTCTTACTTCTACTCACATCGTGGTAAGTATTAGGTAGGCATGGCTAACATTTTTTTGACCAACTCAGTATCTCATAGAGGGGACTCGGGTAGGGTATGTTACAAATACACTGCAAGTCGTGTTTGCATTCTTTAAAAATTTGCCAATTTTCGTAATAGTAGAAAAAAATTACAACATGCTGCATAAAATGCTCAGTCTTTGACGATCAGTCAGCTTTATAAGTGGTCAAACCAAAATATGACATCATTTTTTGAGGACTTTGGCTGTAAGTTTGATCTATGTAATAAGGTGTAGGCTGCCTGACTGGGCTCCTTGAGACTCCGGAAACCCATGGTTGGAGACTGTTATTGGTATGGACCAAAGTCATTTTCAATAGTGCAGATGCACTGACTCTCTGGTATCTCACGGATCTACTTAATTCCCATTATTCATGTAATTATTCTGTTTGTTATAGTTTTTTTGCATTTACTCTACCTTTATGTTGTGCTACACATGTGAAAATTTCTCTTTCCGAAATTCAGTTCAGTTTTGTTTCAGAAGTGCTCAACAAGCCTTTCCTGTTCTTGCAGATATTTCATTAATTACTGACCCACCACACCATGTGGAGTTCCATAAGAAAGTGATATAGCTATCGTGTTCGACCATCTTATTCCTTATAGTCAAATAAAGTTCTGATACAAATGAAAACACTGCAAACAATCCCATCTTATCATATTGACACTCGTATCTCATTACCCCGATGAAACAGCAGAATTATTCAACTGACTTACTCTTTAATGAATAATCAGACAACTTACTAATGGTAAAGGCAACGCAAATTGAAAATTCCTAACAAGCCTCTTGTATTCTTGCAAAAATTTTTTGCCAACAATCACTTCATTAGCTTTTATATGTCTTACTAAAAAGTGAGACGGCAAACTTATTTTGCCACCTAATTCATACTCTTTTGCAAAGAGTCTATGCAAACTACCTCTGCATTTTTTGTCACCTTAAGTACTTACAAGTAAGTAAGTGATGCTGAACATGCTTAGCGGCTTTCTTTTGATGTGTTGGAAGGTTATACAGCGTACCAGTACTTTTATTTAACAGGATTGTATCGTCAGTGCACTGTAAATCAACAAGGAAATAAATTCCGAAGTGTGTAGAATTGGCTCTATCGGTACATTTATAAGAAAGTTGAACAGCAACCATTATACGTAGCATTTTTACCGAGGAATACTGGCTATCAACAATTTGTGTGGCAGCTCTACATAGGCTTTTATAGAACTGTATAAATCCGAGTACAGAGCATTTTTCAGCGTGCTCTTTCTGGGTTTTAGAGCCAGGAATTACTAGAAATATGGCAATTGGTGAAAGCCTAGTATATTTGTGTTCTGGAGTTTGTTAAAGGGTAAAGGTTAATTTCGCGTTGCTAGCCAAATCGGGTAAGTAATAAAACTCGAGATAATCCTTTTACATATAGCGGTGATAGCAGCTAATGAGTTGTTGGCTCGCGACTAGGCGAATGGAAATATATGTTCAGAAGGTATTACTGGAATTTTATTGACACTTGGGATGTTCGTCAGCAGATGGCTGAAATATCTTCTAACTATAAATATGTACGTATAAATCGTTATAGTCCGCCTAAACGAAGCCGTAAATACTGAACCAGTCTAATATTGAAAATTAATTGTTAATTTTTGATACAGAAAACGTAAATGTATCATCTCATTAAACAATTTAAATATGATATTCACTATAATAAACGTTTTTTGTATTTCTCAATGATGAAAAACAAAACGACGTCGTGTTCACTGACATTTCGCTATTTAATGCTAATATCTTTATCAAAGTACTATTAAACCAGAATTTACAAAATCTCAGCTTATATATAACAACTTGATCATCGTTCCTCAGCATGGGGTTACTCTTGCGTTGTCAAATTGGCCAATTGGTAGAGACAAAAAAAATCAGGTGTAGATTGTTAGATTTGATAAGTGTGTAAAATTATAAAAGCAGCGTGTGTTTACATAATGAAATTGCTTATCACATTCGTGTTGATTTTGTCATTTCATGGGTGGGGAGGGGGGTAAATTCTGTTTATGTTCATCATTTCCACTCAGACAATTTGGATTCCATTTGATATGAAGTTCTTCTGATATTGAATCGTCAGTAAAAACAATATCGTTTTGTTTTTCATTCATTGGGAAGTACAAAAACCTTCATTATAATGAATATCATATACCCAATGCCCAAATTTTTTCAAACTGTTAAAAGTGAAATTGGTTTGGACATATATAATTTAAATATGATTTAAAATATTGTAAATCAACGCAATTGTGTTTGGAAATCAGTGTTACAATGTTAAGAACCAACGGCTTCAGATTACTGTTGGTATTGTTCAAAATTGTTCTCAATGGCTTACATGCATTCACTCTTTGTTACCCCCCCCCCCCATATCCATTAAACCGTCATATTCTCTATGTGACTATTTCTTCTCCCCGTAAATTTCTATTTCTTACGGTTCCTTTGAGTCCCTTTTTCTCTCTGTCTTTTGTGTACATTGTGTGCTACATAGAGTATGGCAAGTTAAATTGGTGCACTTCTGTGCAAATGCTCTATGTTGAAATTCAGTCATATCAGTAGAATTTTGGACCAAGAGTGTGTGCTTCAATTTTATTCCTGGTGTAGTGCACACACTTAGAGAAAACGAACTGATAAATACTTAATTATCGATTCAGGGAAGCGTCCAAAAATCACATCTAAGCGGGAACAGAAAGAGTCTCGTTGTTAACAGTGATTAGTTTTCAGATTGAGATTTTATCTTAACTAGATCTAAACAGGAAATCGTCAAAGATTATATATCGCTTCTCTGATATGACTCTTCTCTCGTGTGATGCGATTATGATTTCTGGTGGGTAACCTATTTCGCGTTACGACATCATTTGCTAGTCAGTGGGTACCAATATTTTTTTGAAAATTGTCAGCTGGTTTTTTCCTGGGACTAGAGCTGCTTTCTTAAATGACCACCTATATAGTACGTAGTGACGTGCTCATTAGCTTAAGTACTTGACCTTAAACAGTGGGTCCCGGACTCGAATCCCCTTTCACCTACTTTCACCCTGGGGAAACTAGGTGATATCATCAGCTTTCAACGAATAAGTGTGACTGATAGCATGAGACGTGGAAGACCTATCCCAGGAACTAAGCTGAACCAAGCGGTTTGCTGGCATCTGGGTTGGGTATTCAGAAGTGCCTTCTGTGTTTGAAATGTATAACTTGATAACATAGTACATTTTGTCAGTTATTTTTCTCAACCTTTTAGCAGTGAAGTAGAGTAAGGACATTAATTATATATTGTATTACTCATCATAAATCTCTTATACAAAAGCATACCATTATTTGTGATTTACAAAGATATATGAAAACGTTGGCTAACTTATCTTGCTTTGGGTTATATTGGCAGAAAATGTTTCTTAAGAATTCGTCCAAACTTGCGGTCCGATGTAGCTCATCTTCCCTATACCCCATATCCTTCTTGTAGCTACTCAATAGTATCATAAATTTAATTCTCAATTTACACATATTTGCATAAAACTGTCTACTACTTATTGATTGAGATGAGTAGTTGTATGCCATTGGCATCAACCAGTTTGCTTCACTCTTGGTTTCCTGATTACCATTTACGGTATCAAATAGATCACATATTGTCGTCTGAGTATTCCCGATTTCCAAAGGACTAGTTTGAGAACTCGTAGAGTGTTGGGCAAAGAGGGAAAATCAATCGAAGAGGCCATAAAGTTACATAGATTGAGATGGCTAGGTCACGTGCTGCGCATGCCTAACCGTCGCCTCCCCCGACGGGTATTACTAGCTGATATAGGTGCAGGTTGGAAAAGAGTAAGCGGTAGCCAAACAAAATCATGGCCTCATCAATCCATGAAATCCCTGACAGTTAAACTGAGTCAGATAGGGAGATTCAGACTTCCGGGTTGGGGCCCTCGGGACTCTAAGAATCAATGGCTGGAGACAATAGGCGACATGGCTCAAAATCGTTGTCAATGGCTTACGCAGATGTATTCAGTCTCTTTAACCTTCATATTCCTTTCTACCATTACTCATTCTGTTTCACTCTTATACCTGTCAAAACTCTATTGATTCTCTTCACTCATTTTCTTGTCTACCTTTGTGTGCTCTTTGGAACGTGGCAACTCGAACTGCTGCACTTCGGTGCCAAGTTCTATGTTGAATCCAGACAGACAGATAGTTTGAAAACTGTGAATCCGATTTATAGTGTCATCAGTTCCACCAAGTAGCTAGTCAGAAATCGGGTATTTTGAACTGATTCAGCTCTCTGAGCTGAGTCGAATTTATTGCACCGGTGATGAGGTCGACTGCAAACTAGCGAAACGGACATCTGGTAGTTAGATCAATTCGATCTGGTTAGCAAAGTATACTTAACTCTAATTTTTAAGTATTCGCCTGTCTTTGTATACTAACTGGTTCTACATATATATATATATAAACTGTGACACTACTTTACTCCTTTTTCTGTTTTTTTTTTATTTTCTCAGTTTCCAATTTAGTTGGTCGAATAAGTAATTCAAAAAGTGTAATCAGCAGTGGTAAACATGCTCCCGTTGATCGATCGGAGGCATTTGGTGATATGGGTCGTGCAGTTGTTATACCTGCATCATTACAAGCAGAATCGAAACGAACATTTCATGTGAATGAATTTAATCTGGTTGCTAGCGATTTAATTGGTCTTCATCGTAATTTAAATGATTTTCGTCATGCCAGGTTTGTTTCTTTGTTTGTTTGTTTTAATGAGGTTTATTATTATTCATCTTTCTTAAAAATTTTAAACGCGCGTATTGATAACCGTTTACTGTTCACATGCGCTCAATGGTGACTGTGAATAATGGTCGGGAAAGTCACTTCTTTTTTTAAACTTATTGGCCTACTCTGTCAGTCCCAGCGGCTGGATCATGAGGTACAACTCTGCTCTACTAATTAAGGTTTGGGCAGCAAGGCAGTAGCACTAATCGTCATACAATATGTGTAGTTTATTGCCAGCTGCATGGAAATGCTATTGGTTATTAAGCGACATTTCTATTTTTAGGCTATCCGCACCGACTTTTATGCAGCTTGGCGTTTTTTTGACTTACATTATTTCTCCGGGTATATAATAAGTTAAAGTGTATAACTTGCAATATACGTTGACTGGCAGTCGAACCCGGACCAACTGGCTAAGCATTCTAACGTTGATTTACCGACACTTTTGCCATTGCTAGTACCTCTTTCAACGTTTCACTTATCAGAATTTTTGATAGCTAGCCAGCTCTTTGTGTGTGCTTATGGCTTAGAATTTAAACTGAGGTATAGTTAGGGTTAAGAGAACTGAAGAATGACTAGAGTCATACTTTCTACTATTTTATTTAGTGATTGTCTGTGGGAGTAATATAGGAAAGTAGAGGTTATTTAGTCTGCAGTTCACAGGACTGGACTATATTGATTTCTAGCTTAAAGACAGGGAGTGAAGTGATGGAGCATATTGAACACTTATTTTGGGGAGTTGCATCCACCAACGCCAGAGGGTTGATCGCTGACGAAATCTCAGCATGGATACACAAGGCTCATTTCACATATGCCAGTTTACGCCATCTCTGGCATACACGTGATATCCAACTGGTTGTCGATGAAAAGACGTGTTTACTGCTCAGCAGTTCGTTCCGTCCTCCTTTATGGCTGTGAGCGAGACCTGGCCATTGAGAGTGCAAGACATGAAAAGATTAGCTGTCTTTGATCATAGGTGCCTTTGTTGTATCTCCCGTGTGAAGTGGTAAAATAGGGTGAGCAATATTGAGGTTAGGCTTCAGTCGCGTGCTAGGTAAGGAGGGAGGGGAAATCAATTGACATGGCTGTGAAGCTACATCGACTGAGATGGTTAGGACATGTGTTATGTTTGTCTAGCCATCGTCTTCCTCGACGACGGGCAGTGTTAGCTGACATAGGGTCACGTTGCAAAAGAGCTAGCGGAGGTCAAACTAAAACATGGAACCAGTCAATGAAATCCACAACAGTTAGTTTAAGCCATATAGGAAGGTGTAGACTAGCTTCCTGACTGGTTGGGGTCCTCGGGACGGTGAAAACCAATGGTTGGAAACAATTGGTGACATGGCTCAAAATCGTTCTCAATGGTTGGTGCAGATGCATCCACTCCTTGTGACTTGTAATTTCCAATGAAACTGTGTTGTTCTTCGTTATTACTATTCCTTTGTTTCACACCTCTGTTTACTGTCTCTATTATGCATTTCTCCTACTTTCTTCTCTTGCTTTGTGTGCTACAAGGAGGGAGTGTGGCGACTTGAACTGCCGCACATATGTGCAAAGTTCCATGTCGAAAACAGACAGACAGACAGGTTGTTTCAAAAGGATATTTCATTTCTCCACTTCACTATTTAATCTGTCTCTCTGCTATTCAGTATTCCTGCGGAAAACACCATACACAACATTCTACTTACAAAATCTCGTCAGTAGCACCTGCTGTACTCCTACTCCCGACAGAAAGTTTCTACTGGAATCGCTTTGATCTTCTCAGTGCAATTCGCTCTTGATTTGTCTAGTTGCCGACTTCTATTTTATCGCACTGTATTTGCCTCTGAAGTTGTCTGGTATTAACACATTTCTGTTTATCTCCTCTTCTGATGGTATAAACAAGACCACGTCTGTAAGTGACAGTGTATTGTGCTTTCTTTCCATACACTTTACTTGGTCTCCAACCTTACTCGGATTTCTCAGTGTCTATCTTCTGTTGATGCTTCATATTTCTGATTTCTTCTTTCCGTTCCACTTCACATCACTTCACACTACACTGTTGGTAATGCGGCCAGGTTTTATTGTGTATTGGTAGTCGTCGCTTCTTATCACACATACATCAGCTAATAAAACGGTGACTTCCTTGTTTTTTTCCTGGATAGAAGCACGATGTGCTAGCAGTCTTAAGAATGCACTCATGTTTATCCATAATATTATTATATTATCATTACCATATCATACCAATACTTGAATATCAATGAGATGCTCACTGGCGACTGGCCATATTCAGGTAGGTAGTTACCTGGGGTTCCAGTGAGAAGTCGTGACCAGTAGGGTGCAGACGGTCGAGTGTGAGGACAAATACTCGCCGAAGACATTGGCTAGCGGTTGCGCTATATCGCGAATTGGCAGAAGTTAGAATTCATGGGCCATTGGATCGGGTCCCAGTGGCTTAATGGTATATGAGCTCGCCTTGTAACCAGAAGGTCTTGGGATCGAATTCCGGCGGGTGCGTACTGATGAAGAGTCCCAAACTAGGACGAAACAGTTGTCCAGTACTCCCAGGTTTTCCAATGGTTCTCTAACCAATGTCACCTCGTGATGAAATCCTGTAACCAATCAACCAAATCCCTACAAACCAATACTTGCACATTGATTTTGTTTGCTCTATCTTTTCTTCTTTCGTCTTATGATGTTTCTTGGCTTTCGTTAGATAACATATCCTCCTTCTTCCCACCGTCTGCTTGATTATACCTGTTTGAAATGTAGTGTTTCCTCCTATTTCGATAGGGGATCTGTCTTCGTATTTGTTTGTCTATCTAACTACCAATTAACAGATGCATATGTTTAAAAGGATGTCAAAATCTTTTCTTTTTTATCAAAAAAATAGGCATTGAACATTAAAAAGAAATTAGAAATGGTGACTCATCTGCTCGTTTGTTATCAGTGGTATATTGTTGCTGGCATTATTGATTTTTTCAAAAGTTTTAATGCTAATTTGTCAGTTACACTTAGTAATGGAAAGGAGATATGTCTTATTGGCTTAGAAACACTAGATTTTCAGCTTATTGGGACACAGGTTCGAGTTATGCTCAGCCTACTTCAGCCTTGGGGAAACTGGGCGGGGGTGGTGGTGAACCGTCAGCCACTCACGTAATAATTGTGTGCTTCATGTTCTTTTACATGGGAAGTCGGACCCAAGTAACTGAATCATAACAGCAGTGATAGGATGGGAAAAAGACATCTGGTATGATGTTTCGCTGTTTGTATGTGTGTGTGAGGGAGGCTTGATCATTTCTTCTGCTCCATCAGCCCAGGTAAATCGTAAAGCAATATCATATCCAAAATCTCCGTAAAATATAAAACTATACACTACTGATTGGTTGGGATGAGAAGTTGTATACCATAACTCATATCAACCTGTAGTGCTTGCTAGCCAGATATCATCGATGTGATCTACACACCGGATGGCCGTTCCACTCATTGGAGGCCCAGTTAGTTCATCAGCTCGCTGTACCTGGTTTGACTCAAGTCAGAAAGCTGAATCAGTTCAAATCATTCAATTTCTGGCTGGCTACTAGAGAGAACTGATATTGGCATAAATCAGATCACAGTATGCGATTTTAATGTTATACAACTACTCATCGCCATCATTTAGTAGTATATGTGATTTTTTTGCATTTATGCCTGATTTCTTGATTACCATTTATAGTATTTGCAAAGGAAACTTGGGTGAAATTTCACTTCTCAAACTGTGTGTGTAAATTGCAAATTTCACCTGATAAAATATGATGTTTCCGATAAACTGCTGACTGTGTTACTGATACTTTGGGTTGCCATTTAAACAGTGGAGATGTCTATAAAACATCATCTACATTACCTTCAATGACGCACAAGTGATATTTTATGCTAAGCTATAAATTATTCTACTTTATTACTTATTACTGTATTCAACTATAATGACGTATAATTCATAATAAATAAGAGGAAACCAAAGATTTCCTCATCTCGAGGAGGATAGAACTCATATCCCACTGAAGTTTATCCTAGTGGTTGAGCATAGTCAACACGCTCATCTCGTAGTCTGCAAGGGGTTGGGTTCAAACCCTCCACTTGGTGATAAGTGTACACCCAAATGAAGAGTTCTAAACTAGAAAGAAGTAGTTATCCAATACTCCTTGGTTTTCAATGATTCTCATTTCAATTGATTAATAATGCCCATTAAGATTTTCAAAAGAATAGACACGGAACAAAGAGTACTCTTTTCGATAAATTCATTATCAGGCTCTACAATTATATATACATTATAATGAATGAATGAATTAGTCTTATGAACGACATTAATGTTTAAATAACATCAAATCAATAATATTGATAAATTACAGCTGAACAGCATCATTTCGTGATCTAACTTGGAACCCAATAAAATCTGTGCGAACCAACACTTGAAAATAAATATCACTTTCCAATAATTTCAGCTGTATAGTAGTCATATTTATATCACGTAAAAAGGCATTAAGAGGCACCATAAAACAAAATGATCAGTTAATATACATAATATTTAAATTATACACCTCATTCAACAGTTGTACGATAATGCTGCTGCATGCCAAGTAATCCACAACGCGAAACTCATGGAATCTTTCGAAGTGAAGACGGGAGTAAGACAAGCTGACTGTCTACTATCTCCAATGATTTTCCTAATCGCAGTAGACTGGATAATGAGACAGACAGCGGCGGGCAGCGAGGAGACAGGCATAAAGTGGACCCACACAAAAACTTGGAGGCTCGGGATTCCGCCGATGATATATGTCTGATTCCCCACAAACTGGAAGATATGCAAGTGAAAAGCAACAATTTGGCAAAAGAAGCATCAAAGATGGCACTTCAGGTGAACATGAAGAAGACTTCGGTGATAAAAGATTCCTGGTCAACAGCAACAACAATAACAACAATCAGCATAAATGGGAGAAATTTGAAAG